GTTTGTCACAGCCCCTCGTTTGTTGTCCTCTTCTCTCTCTCTGCCTACGGTTTTACCGGGCAGTTCTGTTTGTGACGATATATATATATATCAGGGAACTTCCTCGTGTCTGAATTTCTTGCTATGGACCGTTGATTTGTGTGTGGAATGCAGGTCTGGGGGAAAACCGGCGCCAAGATCTATGGTGAGACTACTGGTGTTGATTATACGGATAATCAATTGCGCTTCAGTCTTTTTAGTCAGGTCAGGATTTCTCCTATTCAATTGCGCTTTTGTGTTTCGTGTCACCTACCTGTTATTTCATTCCGCTCATCTGAACAGACATTGGGATTCCAACTTGTGTCTGTAATTCAACAGGTACGAGTGCACCAACTGGGCTAGGCCCGTGGGAGCGTGCCTCCTACCTGGGGCTAGACCCCACTTGAATGGATTCGGAAACACTCAGTCTGGTCATAGATTACCAAGATCTACGGCCAGTAACTCTGACATCTTGCAAGTGAAGGTGCCGCCTCCGGGGTGCCGAGTAAAACCACCCTTGGCATTTCCTTTCTGCGCTTGTTCACTTGCGCACTCTCTACTTCCTTGTTTCACTGCCTCCATCTTCCTTCTGTTCCTGGACCAGTACACTCCTGAGCTTTTGGGCGGGTGCTCACCGTACCACAGTGACGTGTTGAACTTGGGCAAAGCGTGCATCCCATGGACTGCACGAGACCGCACGTTGGTAGTGTCTCTTTTTCTTGCCTTTCCTCATCTCTCTCTCTCTCTCTCTCTCTCTCTCTCTCTCTCTCTCTCTCTCTCTCTCTCTCTCTCTCTCTCTCTCTCTTTGTGTGTGTGCTGCTGCTACTGCTGTTTGTTCTGGAACCTGCCATGCCCATCTCTGTGCTCGAATCTGTCTGTGTCTTTCTGCTGCTGTTTCTTCTGGAACCTGCCCTACTCATGTCTGCGGTTGATTCTCTCTGTATTTCTGCTGTTGTTCTTGTAGAGTCTGCCTTACCCATCTGTGACTTCCCCTTATATTTCTCTGCTTTTTCTTCTGGATCCGGTCCCTTCCTTTGTGGAGCCTGCCTTACCCATCTCTGTGGTTGAATCTCATTGTCCCTCGGCTGCTTCTCTTTTGAACCCCTTGGTAAATAGTTTCCTTGACTCTTTCTGTCCTTCGTGTCTTTTGAGTGTTCCAGCGTGGTTCTTCTTCGACGGTATTCGTGATTTGGCTTGATTGGCTGCCTTCGTGGTCCTGATAGCAGAGGCTTTGACATGGGTGTTCTTTTTTTTTTTTTTTTTTTTTTTTTAACACCCATGAAACACAGCTAGTCGTTGAATGTCAATTTTATCCATTTTAAGAATCTAAACCCCTTTGAAGTAAAACTGAAGTGGAGTTTGAGTTGTGATGTGGTTAGGGTGTCAATCTCATATATTTTTGCAGTCTTTTGTGTGTGCTGATGCCTTTCATTTTTTTTATATTTTTTTTTTTCATCCTCGGCAAACCACATCATTGCATATGCAAATCACATATGTCTCGAGCACAGGGGAAAATAATAATAATAATAATAATAATAATAATAATAATAATAATAATAATAATAATAATAATAATAATTGAAATTTGCCTATTGCGTGTAATCACTGTAATGGTGTGCATTGCTCGTTTTTTTGTTTTCTTTGTCTGTCCACAGGCTGCGATCGAAGCGGCTCGAGTTTTGAACCTCAACAATAATCCTTACTTCCAAGGGCCTTATGGTAAGGAACTTCCCTTGTCCTCAAAAAAATGTCGGACATTGAAGAAGGAAAAAAAAAAAACAGTCACTGACAGAAGCCCCGATCCGCTATGCCCCCCTCGTGTACAAGGAAGTTGATTCAAAAAATCTGGATACGCGTTTGGGTCTGAGTTGCATATTCCTTGGGAAAAAAATTATGCAATAATAATGATAGAACGATCAACATTGTCCATGCTTGTGCCCTTTTCCTTCTCCGATCTCACCTGCTACTTTCGCTTCTCCCTACCCTGTCTCTTGTTGTGCTGACCACCTGACAGGCGAGGATGTGATCTTCATTGCCAATGATTGGCACAGCGCTCTTCTCCCTTGTTACCTGAGGAGCGTTTACAGACCTCGTGGTGAATTCATGGACGCCAAGGTAATCTGAAAATGCCTTTCGTCTCTCTGGCATTTACTTCTACAGACTTGTACATGGATACATGTGCTCAGGCGGTTCCTTGTGTGAGCATAGAAGGGGGACTCTTCGTTTTTTCTACTTTTTGTTTCTGTGATTAAACTTCATTAAACCCTTCAAGAGTCCCAACAAAAAAGGGGGGGTCTCAGTGCCCAGGCTTTGATTTACAAATGGAATACAGAGATGATGGGCCTCGCCATACTACTCTTGAAATCGTACAAGTTTTCGAGAGTTGTCTGACGATTTCAAAAGTAGTGTTTTTTTCGAGAGGTTTGGGGAACGTTGGGCTCTTCGGCACAAGACCTCTCGAATTACCCAATTTCGAACTGAAGTACAGAAGTAAGGAATGAAATGAATCTTGCCCAGCAATTTTGTCACGTGTCACTGTAACTAACTGAAAGCGGAGAGTTAGTATGGGGCTGGCAAGACGACTCTCAAAGTTGAGTAGAATGCAGGCTGGTGCGAAGGGAAGTTTCCAGGAGGGCCTCTCGAAGTGGAATTACTGAAAACCGCTCGTTCTTATTTTGGGTTTTTGTTTTCGAGAGAGGTAGTGTGGTGATGGCGACCTCTTGGAAATTGGTGGTTTCAAGAGTGGTGTTGGTAAGGCCCAATGTTCCTTTCTTTTTATGTTTTCAAAAGGGCGACGGGCCTTGAGTTATTGTCCTCGGATTGACCCCGACCCCTGGCAATTCATAATGATAATTAAATTATTTTATTTCATTCATCTAGTAACTCTAGTTCCATCTGCATTCGAACTCAAGTGTTATTTCAACAGTTCACTGGTCTACCAACTGAGCTTTTTTTTTTTTTTTAAGGTTGCTTCAATCTATTGAGCTAGGCTGGTTGGTGAGATGATGTTCCTTATGATGTGATTGTGACAGGATGATTACTTGTGTTGTTCGTGGTCCAAGCTGTCTTGCCCTTTCCCTCAGGTCTGCTGAGTCCGACATAATGACTAGTAGTATACTGCCTTCCCTCAATCTGAGTGGCGTATGAGTAGAAGGGTTGAGTTCCTTGATGCATTCAAGGAGTACCGGGGAGGAAGGTGATAGCGCCATGATACTAAAACTCATGTCGTCTTCTTCTTAATATTGTTCCATTTTTTAATAAATTTTCCAGTATACTGCCTTATTCAGGCAGCATTTAGCCATGATCTCGACTTGGACCAGTTAGAAGCTAAACTTAAAAGTTAGGTCTTATCCATTTGTCTTGTATATGTTGGTAACTCTTAGGCCCTTGCCGCACTGCGCACCAGATCCTCGTGGATCAAAACAGAGAAGCTAACTCTTAGGCCTTTGCCGCACTTCTCACCAAATGTGTAAAGTGGCAAGTTGATCCTCAATTTTTCTGTCATTTTCACATTAGGCGAGTGGTGGAGTGAGGACCTTATTCCTCTTCTCCATATCCTCTACCATATATTTGTTGTATCCATATCCTCTACGGTACATATACTATATATTATATAGCCATATATCCACGCATGTTCCAAACTTCAAATGCTTGCCTCTGTCTCACAGTCTCTTTCTCGTTCTTGTGAAAGTCTGCCCTCCACTGCCCCTGAACGCAACGCACCCTCGTCATGACTTCATCCGATGGGAAAGAAGGCTTGTATACACTCATAATCGGGGTGCGTTATGTTTGGGGGAAGATGGTAGTCTTTCTATTAAGTTTAATGACAGTGCCAAGGACCTCTGGCTATTGGGCACTAAGACTTGCCAAATGTACTACTGAAGGTAGTTTCCAGCATGGATAAATCAGGGTGATGTGATATGGGTGGTACTTCGCTGCGTGGACAAGGCAGAAGGGCGATGCTAGAGTGATTCATCACTTTGGTTCTGTTTGTGCAGTTTGTTATTTCCCCCTCGAGATTAAAGCCTTGCAGAATGTGCAGTTTTTGTTCTACATGAAGTACGCCTTCTATTTAATGACAATGCAAGGACCTCTGGCTATTCGGCACCAAGACTTGCCAAATGTAGGGAAGGTAGTTTCCAGCATGGGTAGTTTTAATTACCAGACCTAGAGTGAATACACTGAATATTCATTTGATCTTCTGATTGTTGAGACAATCGCTTCTACGGAAAGAAAGGTCTTGGTTATGTTGTGTACCAGGCATGAAAGTGTTTGTCGCCAATGTGCCTCTCCACGGAATATATAACCAGTTTGGGGGGGACCTAGAGGTGTTTGTACAAGGACTCCATGGAATACATAGTCAGTTTTCGGAGCAAGTCAGTTTTCGGAGCACGTAAAGGTATGAGTACGAGTACTCCATGGAATATATAATCAGTTTTCGGGGGACTCAAAGGTATGAGTATGAGGAGAAAGCGAAAACTAGCAGTTCTAGTGGTAGGAGACCTAAAGGCTCAAGGTGGAAGTGAGATACATGTCCATGCCCAATAGGAACTCTGCCCACCGGTCCGCTGTTTGCCGAAACTTCGATTAACCGTTCCTTTGGTCATATTGTGCTGTTTGTGGAGAAATGTAGGCTGCTGTTGTTTTGGCAGTACTGTGCAGCTTCAGCAGGGTATCCGGAGTTCATAAGCAAAAAAGGTAATATCCAAGATGCATGTTTGATGCTCTGTCAGTGATTAACCATGTATGCCTGGTCGATCAATCTCTTTCTCTCTCGTGCGGACTTTGTTGTTTGTCGTAGCAGGTTGCTTTTTGTGTACATAATATTGCTTATCAAGGGCGATTTCCGCCGGGAGATTTTGACATACTGAATCTTGGAGAGGAGCTTCGACCTTCCTTCAACTTCTGGGATGGGTGAGTGTCTCCCGGACACGGCAGTGTGCTGTACCTGCCCTGACCGACCTGAACTGTTGTGGTGTGAGATATAGAAATGTGAAGGCGTCAGTATACTATATCTGAATGATGTCAATCCGATCAACTTGTTGCAGTCGACTTTGATTACACAGCCTAGCTTCTTGGAGATTTGTGAGAGTAGAGGGATAAGCGGGCGAACATGTTCTTTGCCGCTTGTTTGCATAAAATTCAGAAAGCAGTTCAGAAAATTAGCTCCCAGATATCCTGGAGAAGGCATGAAGGTTGGGTGGATGGTCAGGATCGACCTGCTGTAAGTTCTTGTCTGGTTGGGTGGTTGGTTGGTTGGCTGGTTGGCTGGTTGGCTGGTTGGCTGTTTCCACTTTGGCAAAGTAATTGAAGTGATTGAACTATGAATGAGAGCATGTGAACTACACTTCTCTTATTTCGACCCCGAACTTCCCAGAGGTAATGGAAATTATAACTTTTTAGGAGACAAAGAAAAGAAAAAGCTAGAGTTCTACGACCCAAGAACGGACTACTAGCAGCTGAAGAACAAAAAAACAGGCAAGAGCCTGACACAGTGTGACTATCACACTTGTTGGTGTCGCGTCCTCTATAACCAAACGAGTCCTTGTGACCTTATCAGACAGGGTACAGTGTAATGGCTTTCAAGTTTCAACAACTCTCTTGTCGGTTGTGAACTTACTATCACTAACGCTATCCTCGCTACACTCCAGTACAAAGTAGCCTTCTGGCCCCTTCACCTTAACCAACTAGCCCAACTGAAAGCTGGGCTGTCCGCATTCCTATGGAAGAATGACCGCAAAGACAACAAATGCATTCACAGGGTAGCATGGAAATATATAGCGCAACTGAATTTTCGGGGTGGCCAAGCAGTAATAGATCAGGAAATGAGATCCAGGCGGCCAAGCAGTAATAGATCCAGGAAATGAGATCCAGGCTTTTATCTTCAAATTCCTCCTTTTGCTAATATCACAGTGTCGTATGAGACTATTGAGTATAGAAGGGATTGGGGGGAGTGGTTCAGAATGCCTCCCCACAGACTGAGGGATGTGAGTAGCTTCAAGAAACGAGCTCAGAAAAAGCCAATTGGTTTTCTGGTCGCAGGTGATGGGGAATAATCCTTCACTGTGCATGGGTCCTGGAGACCATCTCACGTAAGTGTGTACATGCCATGCATCGTACTCCCACACACAACGAACAGTAGTCTGATAATAGACAAAGGT